TCAGCCTACAACTCCCCGCAAAATTTCAGTTGAATTTTTCTTAAAATACGATATTTTTCCAAAATCTCGTCTGAACTATGTCAGCATAGAGTATTTTAATTTTAATCTATTCCTATTACAATTTATTAAAATGATTTGACGTCTAAAATTTGTTTTCTAACATTGCTTTTTTTATAATACAAAAGTGTGACGTCACAACATCTGAACCTCCCCCCCCCTTCCCTCCCCCTCATCCCATACCGTCACAAAATTACGGACCCCCTCCCCCTACGCGAGTGACGTCATTTATGGGCGACTCCAATGCGTTAAACTCTAATGGAAGACAAATTTGTTGTGATAATTATAAAATAAAAATATTTTTTTCAACTTTTAGGTGTGTTTTTACATACGAATATACCATTACATTAGTTAACGTCTTTAAATAAAAAATTTGTATATAACATTTCGGGTAAAAAGAACACCGTTCTATTCACAAATACGTATTTCTCAGTTCCACATAATATACTGCAGATGCTCTGATCTAGCGTAACCGACAAAAAAAAAAAAAAAAAAAAACGAAAAAAAAAAAAAACAACACAAACTGCTGCGTTTTAGTAGAATACTAGACTACCCGTCATCCCTTGCATAACTGTGGGTTTCAGAAGTCATCCATAAAAAAACATCACGTCTGTCACTTATCGTCACAAAAAAACAGACCCCACATTCAAATAGACGTCACACCTCAGACGTTTTTGTCTTATAAAAACACCTATTGCGGCTTAGCATGGGTCTGACAACACTATCCCTTTAAATGCTGAGATCACAAAAACAGGTCAACTCTACTTCACTGCCAGTGCCCCCCCAACTTAGACATGTTCTTGTCTTTTAAAACACCGATCAGAGTTTCTTCCAGACATCTCGGGGGGGGGGGGGGAGGTGAGAGGAGGAGGGCTACACCCCCCCCCCCACGAAGAAAGTCTACCGCCCCCCCCCTATCCCGGAGAAAAAAGTCTGGAAGAAACACTGACACTATCATAGGCTGAGCATAGGTCTGACAACATTACCCCTTCATATGCTGACGTCACAGGTGAACTCATGGCTCTGACCACACTATTCCTTCATATGCCAAGAACACAGAAACAGGTGAACTCTACTTCGCCTGCCCCGTGTCCTGCCAAGTCCCGATAGACATCTTTATCATTCACATCTATATAAAAAAATACAAAAAAAAATAATATTTACAAGATGTGTTTCGAACCCGTACCACACACACGGTTAGCGATTACACTATCAACTCACCTATCTGGAAAGTTATCATTGTAAGCAAATTTAGCGGTATAGAATCCTTCTATGAAACTTAAGTTACGCAAATAGGCCCTAGATAGAGCATTTCAAATGTAATATTATCCCAAATTAGCCTATTCCAAAGCTAAACAAACAAAGATTTATATAAGGTAAAATATTAAGGCCTGAAATAGTTTAATATATCTAGACAGAGATAGATCTAGAATTTACGTTAAGTCTATAATTTTGCAAAATTAGCGGCATAGAAGCCGCGTATGAATCTTAAGTTACACAAATAGGCCCTAGATCGAGCATTTCCAAATTAGCATATTCCACAGCTAAACAAACAAAGATTTATATAAAATAATTAAGACCTGAAATAGTTTAGTATATAGATGCTAGGTTCTAGATGTAGAATTTACGTTCAGTCTAGATTCTACATCTAGAATCTAGATTTGATCTAAATTTTAGATAGATCTAGATTCTAGTTCTAGTTCTAGATCTAGATATATGCATTCTCGAATAAGATGATCATTGAAGCTAAACAAACATTTATATAAAATAATTAAGTCCTGAAATAGATTCTAGATGTAGAATTTACATAAATCTAGTGACCTTGATCTAGATCTAGACTTCTAGATCTAGATCTAGATTCATAACTTTTCTTCCTTCGACAGTTGATCTGTAGACCTAGAGAAATTGATTGTAAAACTAAATGAAAAAGACAATTGAAAATTGATATAAGTGTTGGAACGTAATAAATACAGCAAACGGACGTATTGTTAAAGTTATAACGTTTAGAACGCGTTAAACATTGGAATAGGAACACAATCTTCTTCAATAGAAGCCGCCATTTATTGTACTAAAAAGTAAACAAATCATGTGAAGTCACTATTCCCACAAAGTAAAGTCAATGTTTTAAACTTTTAAAATTAATGTGGTTAATCTACCTATGAATAAATCAATAAATTAATTAACGTCTTTAAATAATTTTGTGATTAACAGTCTGTCTGAAAACAGTCTGTCTGAAAACAAAAATTGTTCTCTACCTACATACTATTTTGAAGCTCTCCACATAGAGCAGGATCTCTCCAGTAGTCAATCAAACAAAAAAAAAAAACAAATAAATATTCAAACATGTAAACAAACTTGAGTTTTAGCAGTATAGAGATAGATAGATAGCAAAAACAACAATACAAGACTAGCGTAAGCGTTAGTTAGCTAGGGCTGCCTATGGAATTATGTATTTGATAAAGTATAATTAAAATTTCATTGTTTATAGTAATTAAACATGTTCGCATATATTGAAACCTGCCAATACATTTTTTTAGGCTATACCAACGCGAACAATGTAAGGCGGTTTAGGAGTGATTTTGGTTTGTTTTTTGTTCAACTAAACAATCAAGCACAAAAAATAATCTTGAACAAATGACGCCGTAAGCTATTCAACATTCAGGGTAGGGAACGGTAAAGGTCAAGGTTAGCTCAAAGACACATACTACTTCGGTAAGGGGGTCATCAAAAAAAACAACAACAAAAAAACAACAACGTCGCGTTTTTAAAAATGATTTTTTTCCTTCTCCATCGTCACACATCGTCACATGAATCACAACCCATTTTCTTCTAAGAGTGTGACGTCGTTTATGGACTACCCCTAAAACAAAAAACAAGGAAGCCCTACTACCCCTGAAAAAAAAGCATAAGGAAGCCCTACTACCCCTAAAACAAAACATAAGGATAGATGTACATACATAGATGTACATGTCGAATACAAATATTTCAATATATGAGTGGGACAAAAGATCTCAGTTTAGTAGTGGTTGTTGTCATATCATCATCATCATCATCAACATCATCATCATCGTCATCATCATCGTCATCGTCATCGTCATCATCATCATCATCATCATCATCATCATCATCATCATCATCATCATCATCATCATCATCATTATCATCATCATCATCAACATCATCATCATCAACATCATCATCATCGTCATCATCATCGTCATCATCATCATCATCATCATCATCATCATCATCATCATCAACATCATTATCATCATTGTGGGCACAGGGGCCCGACCACACCTCTCCATCGTATTCGGTTCTGTGCGATTCGTTCAAGTTGGGCCCATGAGATTCCGCCTGCTTCTGCTTCTCCTACAGCTGACCTTTCCAAGTTTGCCTTGGCCTAACTACTCTCTGGTCATGTTGTTAGTTGGTTTATACACGGTGTGTCCAATCCATCCCCATTTCCACGTTTGTATTTCTTCGCGAGTAGGGTCTTACCCAGATTCTCTCCACAGTTTGATATGCCATATGAATAAATAAAAATGTATAGCCTTCAAGGAAGACTACGTCGTCGAGAGGAAGAGCGCATTCTATTCAACTTAGTTCGGACCCCTGGCAGATGAGTCTCGCTATCTGGAGACAGCCAGTGGCGTAGCCAGGATCGTCTCAAAAAAAAGGGGGGGGGGTTCCAATTTTTACCCGGGGACAAACTTTCAATTTGCACCCCCCCCCCTCAAACGTTCGATTTGCACCCCCTCATACATTATATATATGTATGTATATATATATATATATATATATATATATATATATATATATATATATATATATATATATATATATATATTTATATATTTATATATATATATATATATATACCGAGGGGTCTACGCCACTGGAGACAGCAACCCATCTAGAAGAGAAACTCCTATATCAAACGGCTTATGTCTTGCAGTTTGTTCTTGTATGGACAGAAACTATTCCGAAGTTGGAATCAACCGGCCCTATGGCACATATCATGCTCTTTCTTCAAGTAGCAGTTAAGAATGCTCAAATGAAAAAAAAAACAAATTAATAAAAAGTCTAGTGACAATTTAAGCGCAATTTCCTTATGTTATCCATAACAATTTTTAATTTTTTGTGACCAAACGAAAGGATATTTTTTTGCGCTAAAAAAAAAGACAACTATATTAACCTATATCAACGGAAATAGTTTTATTTTAACGAGTAGGCCTACACGATGCTCAGTTTTAAAAAAAAGTAGTACATATCATCCTAGGCCTACACGATGCTCAGTTTAAAAATTCTTAATTAATTTTTTGTGACCGAACGAAAGGATATTTTTGAAAACTTTCTTCGGCAATATTGTTCTAAATTATGGCAGGAATCGATTGGTAATTGTTTCAAGTCGCTAAGTGGTCTGGTTGCTGAGATATGGGCCAAAACTGCATTTTTTCGAGGTTTTATGCTTTTCCGGGAAATCCAGGAAGGAATTCCGGGAATTGTTTTGGCCCACAATCATCCTCGGAACTTGCTTAACATATTTGCTTTTGGAACTAGTCCTCGATATTGCTTCGTTGAGGAGGAGATACGACTTAAAGCTGCGGACACACATCCATCCATTGCGGACACACATCCATCCATCCATCCATCCAGAAATGACGAGTTAATAATCGCAATTCCTGTAAGGAAATAACGCTAACAACCTCACACATATTTTATTAACTACAAATTAAGACATCCAAAATACCTCATATTTTGCATTTATATGATAATTCTGTCCTCGTATATTTTAAAGAATCAAAATAATTTAATATAACATTCCTACCTAACTACACAAGAGTTAGCTATTTCTCTTGTAATTAGCAAGTTATCGATAATTGAGTCTATCGTTACACAGTGTTAAACCTGTGAATTCACATTTGTACACATAACCAAGATGGCGACATAAACTGGGTTCAAACTATTTCAACAAATGGCGTACAGTGATGATCAATGACTAACTAATCCATGTCGGTGAGTTGGTGGATAAAAATTTACCTTTGTAGTGTTTTTATTTATTTTTCAATGATTATCAAAAAATAAGGATTAATCAAAATGTTAATTTTTGTAAGTTTCTAGCTGATTCAAGCAGTTCAATGGTATTATTTAACACTGTTTCAATCGACAAAATACTATTTCCTGAGTGAACAGTTGTCAGGAGACTGAATCCAAGGCTCATGTTATGCAGTTTTAATGAAATCACCGAGAGTAATTTGATCCCAAGTTTGTTTAAATGCTGCTCAAAAGCGAATGTTGTATGGTTATCAGTATACGATAGCTGCGACTTCATAAAAAGGCGCCATTACAGATACCCTTATTATTCATTATACAAATATATAGTCATATATATATATATATATATATATATATATATATATATATATATATATATATATATATATATATATTACAGCATTGTTGTATTAGTAATAGTTGTTGTAGTTGTGGTAATAGCTATTGTAAAAGTTGTAGTTTTATTTGTTGTTGTAATAGTTGTTGTAGTGGTGGTTGTAGTAATTTGGTTGATGTTTTAGAAGAAGCGGCAGTTGTTGCAGTAGCAGTAGTCGTAGCATTTCTAGTTGTTTCAGTGGTAGATTTAAACCCAGAAGAAGTTGTTCCATCCTTTGATTAAACTCACCCTTTTTATATACACATACGCAGTTGATAAAAGGTCAATTTTATAATTTTAATGTGATTGGAATATTAGCTCAACGCGACATAATTTTATGTTGTTTTTTTTTAAATTCTATTTCAACAGAAAAAAAAATCATGTGTTCTAAGCTTGTTGTACACGGTATCATCTGCCTGTTTCTTGTCGTCTTGATTATGGTGCAGTCGAAACCTTTCAAGGCAGAGGACGGTGGTGGTGACGCGATGAAGGACGATGACGGCGATAGTGTGGGGAGGAGGGAAGAGGACGATGGTAGTGTGGGGAGGAGGGACGATGGTGGTGTGGTGATGAAGGACGATGACGGCGATAGTGTGGGGAGGAGGGACAAAGACGGAGGTAGTGTGGCTATGACGGACGGGGAAACTGTACCAGAACTACAGCCGAGGTGTTGTGAGGAAGAACCCGTATGGCAAGACGAAAGCAAGACTAGTGACAGTATTAGCACAAGTTCTAGCACCAGCACTAGCACCAGTTTTAGGACCAGTCCTAGCACCAGCACTAGCACCAGTTTTAGGATAGGTTCTAGCACCAGCTCCAGTTTTAGGACAGGTTCAAGCACCAGCACCAGTTTTAGGACAGGTTCAAGCACCAGCTCCAGTTTTAGGACCAGTCTTAGCACCAGCACTAGCTCCAGTTTTAGGACAGGTTCAAGCACCAGCTCCAGTTTTAGGACAGGTTCAAGCACCAGCACTAGTTTTAGGACCAGTCCTAGCACCAGCACTAGCTCCAGTTTTAGGACAGGTTCAAGCACCAGCACTAGCCCCAGTTTTAGGACAGGTTCAAGCACCAGCACCAGTTTTAGGACCAGTCCTAGCACCAGCACTAGCTCCAGTTTTAGGACAGGTTCAAGCACCAGCACTAGCCCCAGTTTTAGGACCAGTCCTAGCACCAGCACTAGCTCCAGTTTTAGGACAGGTTCAAGCACCAGCACTAGCCCCAGTTTTAAGACAGGTTCTAGCACCAGCTCCAGTTTTAGGACCAGTCCTAGCACCAGCACTAGCTCCAGTTTTAGGACAGGTTCAAGCACCAGCACCAGTTTTAGGACCAGTCCTAGCACCAGCACTAGCATCAATTTTAGGACCAATCCTAGCACAAGCACTAGTTCCAGTTTTAGGACCAGTCCTAGCACCAGCACCAGCACCAGTTTTAGGACAGTTTCAAGCACTAGCACCAGTTTTAGGACCAGTCCTAGCACCAGCACTAGCATCAATTTTAGGACCAGTCCTAGCACCAGCACTAGCTCCAGTTTTAGGACCAGTCCTAGCACAACCATTAGTGCCAGACAAAGCACCAGTAGGAGCAGTGGAACTAGCAGTCGACTTAGCACCCTCCGTAGCATCAGTACAAGCACCAGACTTACCACCAATCCAAACAGCGGAACTAGCAGCGAGCCTAGCATCAAACCTAACCCGACCAGCAAGCCCTGCAGTAACGATGATCCAAATTTAAATTTAAAGGGATCAATTAGATGTTTGTTTGCTGCAGCTATTGAGTTAGCATTTGGTCTCATGAAAGTAGGCATGGAAATAGCGTCCGAGAAAATACTTGCTACATTTTGATTATTGAAACAAATAAGTTATGTATAAAAAGACATGTCTGTTCTGACATTTTAGTTGAATAAAATAAACAAACCAATTTTTATCTTCCACGTTGTGTTTGTTAACCGATTATTTCTTAAATTAATTATCATATCTATAAAAAAAGTTGGGTTAGACTACACTTAGAAAAGCATAAATAAAATACAGAATAGTACTTACCCTAACACATGATAAACTCTACGTACACAAGACATTTCGTAGCCCAATAATGGACATTTTCTAAATAAACTTGACATTTCTTACTCAAAAAACAGGACCTTTCTTACTTCAATTCAGACATTTTTTACTCCAGGATAGGACATGTCTTATTCCAATATAGGCAGTGGCGTAGCGAGGTCGGGTGTCACCCGGTGCGGCACTTAATGGTGTCACCCCCTGAGGCGTAGCGACCCTTCCCGGGGACAAACTTTCAAGTTTTCGATTTGCACCCCCCCCCTCAAACTTTTGATTTGCACCCCCCTCAAGTTATCGATTTGCACCCCCCTCAAGTTTTTCTCTATATATTTTGCTATTTTTTGCCTTGGTGTCACCCCCCCCCTAAATGGTGTCACCCGGTGGGGTCCGCACCCCCGCCCCCCCCCCTCGCTACGCCCCTGAATATAGGACATTTCTTACTTCAATTTAGACATTTCTTACTCCATGACGGTTTTGGGAGGAGAGAGAGGGGGGGGGGGCAGAGCCCCTATGAAAAGATGCCTGGAAGAATCTCTGACTGTGAAACTCTCTGCTCCGCTTGGTCGCAACTCAAAGTTCGCTAGTAACGTAGTAAGCCACATTTGAAAGCAAAAATCGTTCGCTCGACGGCTCCTATCTAAATACTAGCCATCGGTACCCGTTACACGTGAATTATAGGCAGTGGCGTAGCGAGGTCGGGTATCACCCGGTGCGGCACTTAATGGTGTCACCCCCCAGAGGCGCAGCGACCCTTCCCGGGGACAAACTTTCAACTTTTCGATTTGCACCCCCCCCCCCCTCAAACTTTCGATTTGCACCCCCCCCCTCAAGTTTTTCTCTATATATTTTGCTATTTTTTGCCTTGGTGTCACCCCCCTAAATGGTGTCACCCGGGTGCGGTCCGCCCCCCCGCCCCCCCCCTCGCTACGCCCCTGATTATATGCCTATATATTTATAATGTTATACTTGTTTGAGAAACATATTTTATAAAATAGTTATTGGTCAAAACGCAATGTGCTTTACTACACGTTGAACGATATTAGTGACAAAGGAAATAAATAACTTTAAAAATACAAAAAAAAACCAACACATTTAAATTATGCCTAGACTACCAATCCTAACCATGTGAGAACTTCTCTCTCTCTCTCTCTGTCCGCAATTTTTTTTTTAGGCGACGTGATCAGTATGTTCAGCAGTGTTTCTTCCAGACTTTTTTCTCCGGGTGGGGGGGGGGGGGGGGGGGAGGGGGGGCACCTGAAATTTTCGGGGGGGGGGGGGGGGCGGTAGACTTTCTTCGGGGGGGGGGGGGGCGGACACTGTTAAAAGTATATATTTTCTATATAAATTATATAAATTTCATTTTGTTCGGGAGGGGGGGGGGGCGGTAAATTTTTTTCGGCCCCCCCCCCCCGAAGAGATGCCTGGAAGAAACTGATGTTCAGCGATATATGGAGAACTTTAAGATACGGACTTGAGTTGAAAATAATATGTTGGATGTTATATATATATATTAAAATTATTAAATTTAAAGAAGGAAAATAAAAATAAAGGTATATTCGAATGTAGAAACGACAATTTTAATTATGCATCGGGAAAAGTCTATATTGTTGTGATAAGAACGCATAAAACAATGACGTCACATGCCACTTGTTTAAACTACAGAAGAACACAAAACTTGCAATTTTAGAATATGAAGAACGGAACTATTTCATTCAAACTTGATTTAGTTCTATAGATCTACTTATCAAGACGTACGCTATGAAATAAAACAACAGCATGTTTTTTTTTGTAATACTTGTTGGTTTATTTAATTAATATAATTGTATACAGTATGTTTTACTTTCTACTGTATTCATTCATCTGGGGTGCTTTTATTCCTATTGTATGCAGTGGCGGAACTAGAAAAAAAGGGCCACCCCGCAAAAAATTTTTTAGGCCCCCCCTTATATATATATATATAATATATATATTATATATATATATATATATATATATATATATATATATATATATATATATATATATATATATATATATATATATACAAACGCAAAATACGAACATAGGATACTCAGTGTTGGCCACTTCGGATTTTGAAAAAAAAAAAATGTTTTTTTTTTCAATTAAAAAAATTACATCAACTTGTCATTTGTTTTAGTCTATTTGGAAAATCAGTTTAAATTTTATTTTTGCCATAAGACGGTTTTAACTTAAGTCGGTCAAAAGTATATAAACCGTGAAAGCTTTGTATAAGTAAT